AAAAATCAAAATTAAAAATTAGATCACATACTTCCAAAATATAATGGCACAGGATATATATTATTCCAAAACGCAGGGAAGGGAGCATAGGGAGGAAATACTAGATCAAAGCAAGACCAAAAACCAGCCTGGCAAACCCCAAACTCTCCATCTCCATGTCTGATGTCAAAATGCTCTTCAGATCTCTGATTAATTTCAGCTTTGTTGACTGCAACACACTTCTTTCTCTTGGGCTGTTTCCACTCCCTATTAGCAGGTATCTCCTCAGCTCTGACATCTTGGGTTCTCCAAGGGCATCCAGGCTTCAACTTCACAGCTTCATGCAATGGCCTCTGTAGTAGGCCTCCATTCACGAACACCCCTGACACATGCCTGGCCTCAGCAGCTTTATTCCATAACTCCTTTCTTCTAACCTTAACTCTAAATCCAGAACCACATGGCCAAAGCTGCCAAGTTTTTCTGCTTGCTGGGCCTAGAACATGACCCAATTACATCTTCACCAACTTTCTGCCCTTCACTATCTAAGCTCGACTGGCCTGAAACTGGATCTCTAGAACAGGCTGGCCTCAAACTCTGAGATCTGCCAGCTTCTGCCTTTCTTTTAGATTTTATTTATTTATTTGTTTATTTTTATTTCATGTGTGCTGTGGATATCGCTCTGTATAAATAAAACACTGATTGGCCAGTAGCCAGACAGGAAGTATAGGCGGGACTAACAGAGGAGAGAGGAAAAGGAGAGGAAGGCAGGGGGAGGAGACACCAGAGGCCCTTCAGGAAGCATCATGTAGAGGCAACAGGTAAAGCCACAGAACACGTGGCAACATATGGATTAACAGAAATGGGCTGAGTATAGGAGTAAGAGCTAGACAATGGTAGGCCTGAGCTAATGGCTGAGCAGTTTAAATAATATAAGAGTCGGTGTGTTTGTTTTGTAAGTGGGCTCTGGGACTGGCAGGGCTTGGCGGGAGCTGAAGAGAAATTCTCCAGCTACACATGTGCATTGGTGTTTTTGCCATGGGTGTCGGGCCCCCTGGAACTGGAATCACAGACAAGAGTGAGCTGCCATTTGGGTGCTAGGAATTGAACCCAGGTCCTCCAGAAGAGCAGCCAGTGCTCCCAACCACCAAGCCATCCCTCCAGCCCAGCTTCTGCCTTTCAAGTGCTAAGATTAAAGATGTGCCCCACCACACCCAGCTCTAAGCTTTTCTTTAGTTTCTATTCACAATTTGGAAACTTAGCTGGGTGGGATCTTGCCCTGAGGTCACCACTTCCTTTAATTCCATTTCTTAATCTGATTATCTCCTTAAACACAGGACTTATCTCTATTCCACTTCCTGGTGCTCTTTTTCTCCTCATGTTTTGTGATTTACCCTGCTCAGCTTGCTCCTTTTCAATATAAATCTTCATTCTAAAGGTAACTCTAGTTATCACTAATAACCACACAACAGAGTCTATACTAGGCTGTTTTGTGATCTCCTCTGCCAACAGAATTCATTCAAAACTCTTCACTGTAGCCTCAGACTTTTTGAACAAGGGTAAAAAGTAGACACTTTCTTCACCAAAATATCGTAAGACCAGTCGCTAGGCCAAATACTAACATTCTTCTCTGAAACCTTGATTCCCCACAGTTCATCAAATGACATTCAGCACCCTGTCTTCCATGCTCCTACTAGTATGGCCTATTAAGTGGTGCTTAAAGCATTCTATTGCTTTCCTAACCCAAACTCTCAAAGTCCATATTACTAATAAAAAAAAAAAAAACATGCTCAGGGCTGTCACAGCAATACCCCAGTCCCCGGTACCAACTTCTGTCTTAGTTAGGGTTTCTATTGCTGTGAAAAGACTCCAGGATCACAGCAACTCTTATAAGGAAACATTTCATTGAGGGGGTTTGCTTGGAGGTTCAATCCATGATCATGATGGGGAGCATGGCAGTGTACAGGCAGACATGATGCTGGAGTAGTAACTGAGAGTCCTACATCTTGCAGGCAACAGCAAATCAACTGAAACACTGGGTAGTATTCTGAGCATAGGAAATTTCAAAGCCCACCCCCAAGATGACACACTTCTTCCAACAAGGCCATACCCATTCCAGCAAAGTCACACCTCCTAATAGTGCCACTCCCTATGAGATCATGGGGCCAATTACATTCAAACTCCCACACCTCCCAAAATGAAACTTTTAAAACAATGATAGATAGAAGAGTACTAGATACTCATTAAGTTCCATTTTATTACTTCTAAGGCTACATTCACTCCACTTGGTAAATGTATTCTAACAAAGGCTTAACATCTAGCAGTCATTAAATAGTGTGCGTGCACATCAGGCTGCAGGTGGCTTCAGCCACAGTGTGGAGGTCAGCACTTCCACTCACTGAACCCCCCACATCCAGTCCTTAAACATTTTTCAATGTAGACCGCACCACTCTTGTCTCTTCTGTTTGAAAATTACCTTGTTTTCAGTCAGCTGTGTTAGTTAGTCCACTTGTCCTATACAAGAGGACACTTGAATTGACTAGTTTAAAGAACAAACAGCATGGTTTCTCATGGTGGCCAGGAAGTCCAAGATGAAGGCATGGGTGTGTGGTGAGGGCTCTCTTGCTTGCTCACATAGCTGAAGTTGAGAAGCGAGAGAGAGCAACACCCTCTGTCCAGTCCATTTAGAAGGGGTATGATGTCATCAGTGAGGGATGAGCCTTTAGGTTTCATCAACTCTTAAATGCCCGACCTCAAGGTGCTATCACATTAGCTACATCTGAATGTTGCAGGGTTTTGTTAAAAGCAAGGCATTTCTGATGCACCTGCTGCTGTTATTCCTGGGGGGTGGGGGGAACATCCAACAAATGATTCACAAACTTGAGTTTCCTGCCAACACTAATTTATGACTTAGTCTATTGTCAAATAAATCTTACTTGATTTGATTAATAATTTTAACTATTTTTAATTTATGTGAATTTAAATTCTTAATTACCTGAGCTTAGATTGTCTTATTTATTTGTTTGTTTGTGGCTTTTTGAGACAGAGTTTCTCTATGTAACAGCCTCAGCTATCCTGGAACTGGAGTTACAGACCATGCTGGCCTCAAACTCACAGATCTTCCTGCTTCTGCTTCCCAAGTGCTGGGATTAAAGGCCTGCACCACCATGCCCAGCAATGCATTATATTTTTTAAAAGGCTGAACATTGTGGAATTGCCAGTTCTTTCTACTTCAAAGGCTGAAGTTGGAGGATAACTCAACCCAAACAACAACAATAATAATGAGAACTCATAAGGTCAGTGGTGGCACATGCCTTTAATCACAGCACTTGGGAGGCAGAGGGAAATGAATGGATCTTTGGGAGTTTGGGGCCAGCCTGTTCTACAAGAGTTCCAGGATGTATGTATGTATGTATGTATGTATGTATGTATGAATGTATGTGTATATGTATGTATGTATGTGTGTGGGTGTGTGGGTGTGAGGGGAGGGTCCTTAAAATGTAGCCATGCTCTGGAAGAACTTATGTAGCCCGGACTGACCTCCAACTCACAGAGATTCACCTGCTTCCTATGAGCCTTGAGATTAAAGACATGGGGCACCAGACCAGCTATTTCTATTTTTTTTTTTTTTTTTTTTTTTTTTTTTTTTGGTTTTCGAGACAAGGTTTCTCTGTGTAGTTTTGCACCTTTCCTGGAACTCGCTTTGGAGACCAGGCTGGCCTTGAACTCACAGAGATCCACCTGCCTCTGCCTCCCGAGCCCAGCTATTTCTATCTTAAGAGATCTTTCAAAGTATTCTTTGCACCATTGCTGAATGTAAAAGGAATAATTCCCAAGTTGAAATTGATTTGAAATCATCTTTTAGGTGCAATTTGATGGAACAATTTCACCTTTACTTCAATAGGGATGAGTTTGCCTTTGATATTACTTTTTATGATTTATGAATAAAAAGCATTTAAGTTATAAAACATGTTTCGCAGGGAAGATACTAACCTTTATATATTACACGAGTGGCCAGCAACTACTGGAGATAAAAAGGTTTTAGCCAGGTTGGTCGGCCATAACTTGGGAGGATGAGGCAGGTGGATCTCTGTAAGTGTGAGGGTAGCCTGGTCTACAGACAATCTAGGAAAGCCAGGATTACATACAGACACCCTGTCTCGAAAAAACATAAGCAAAACAAAACAAAAAAAGGTTTGAGCTTTCTGATTTCTTTGAACACTTTAATATAAAAATAGCATATACTAAAATGCATGCATGTAATCATTGTTTACATGCTTATAAAAGGAATGGAAGCTTTGAAATCTTAAAAAAAAATCAGTCAGACCCCCAAATAATTTACTTTAATGCAGACTTTTCTAATAAGTCATAAAAGTGGGTTGTTTCCTGATTTATTTTCATTTAATAGTTTTTCATTTCTTGCCATTTTGATAAGTTGCACTTGCTTTGAGCTTCTTGGTTTAATAGTCTGGACATCTTTTCGGAGCAATCAAAATCAAAGTCAAGTATGGGTTTCCACAGAAGAGTACTGTGTATAGAAATCATGACCCAAACGGGCATCAAGCTGCTTTACTGAGTGGCATCATCAGCTGAGCGATTCATATATGCCACAAATGATGTAAAGCTGCTCAAGCAGATCATGGAATCAGTAAACAAAGGCGGGAACATAATGTAGTTTGCCTGCCCTTGGGAAAGAAAAACAAATTACATATGATTTGATAACTGCCGAAGGAAAGGGAGCCTTAGTTTTAATTAAGGGATATCGTGTGCCAGCTACCATGCTAGGTAGTGTAGTTGGTAAAATATGTGTGTTCATATACTATATGTGCATTCAACATTGAAAGCGCTTAAAAACTAAGGGGTTTGGAAGATTTTCTGAATCCCATTAATATTATGAAGCCTTTATTGTTTTTGTCAGTGTTTTCATTGTAAAACTGACTGGACACCAATCCTAGTGCGAAACAGCCTGACAATCTGGAACCTAAACTCACTGGGCGGGACTACACCCTCAGGCCCGCCTCCGACAGGTCTGCGCCTGCGCAAACGCAGCGGTCCCGCCTCTTGCACGGCGTCTGCGCACCGGGGCAACTGCGCATGTGTCAGTGGTGAGTGCGGGCGCGGAGTGGCGCGGGAGCGGCCTGAGGGCTTTAGGTGGTTTGGGGGGTCGCGGGTGGGTTCCGTGGCGGCAGCGTGCGGTCAGTGGTGACTCGGCGGGCCTTGCGGTCCACGCCGATCTTCGAGACTTTCCCAGTGGGGCTCACCGCTCTGCGGGGTCCGTGGGCTTGGGCACCGTGACCCGGAAACAGGCCCTAGCATCCCGCAGACGGTCCCGTCGGAATGGTGTTCCGACCGGAAGCGGGAAGACCGCGGGGGAAGGGGAGCACGTGCTGGACACAGCTGCCTAGGCTGTACCCTAACTTACCATGCTGTGTGTTCCTGGCATGCTTCCTCGGGGGAAGTTTTATCTCAGGTTGTGGTGGGGTTTATTTCTTTTTGAGATGGTGTCACTGTGTAGCCCAGGCTGGCCTGATACTCATTGATCCTTCTTACTTCCTCTTGCTGTCCTTACACCTGCATCACCACACCCAACAATCTTTCTTTAAAAAGTAAATAAATACTTGACAGGTTAAGTACTATTTTAGAAAGTGAGATGGAAGGACTCGTCTCAGGCAAAGAGCCTTGTCTGAATGTGAAAGCACTAGATTTTCATAGCCAGGCGGTGTTGGCACACGCCTTTAATCCTAGAGGCAGGCGGATCTAAGTTCGGGGCCAGCATGGTCAACAGAGCAAGTTCCAGGACAGCCAAGGCTATACAAAGAAACCCTGTCTCAAAAGAGAGAGAGACAGACACAGAGAGAGAGAGAGAGAGATCCCTGCTGCAGCTGTTGCTCATTGCAGACCTCCTTTGCTCTTGGTGTCTATCTTCCTGGTACCTTGTTTTCATCCTTTCCTGCCAAGGCAAACTGCCACGTGCTGCTCTACATCTGTCCTCAACAGGCTCTTCCGTGCATCCCATGACGCTGAGCCACACAGTCTTAATAGAACAATCCCCACATTGCCATTTCCTTGACTCTGAAGTTCCTCAACCTCAGCACTAAGGACATTTCGAGCTGGACTTATCTTTGAAGTGGAGGGCTATCCTCGGAACTATAGAAAGTTTGCCAGCAATGCCCTTGATTATGACAACCAAAAATGTTTTCAGATGTTTGCAAATGCTTCTCCTAGGAGAAGAGTGACTCCTAGTTTTTCCCATGAGAACCACTGATCTAGAATATGAGCCAGGAAGGACACCTGGTCAGTTTAATGATAATAACACAGCACTTCCCAGCCCCCTTTCAGACCTGAAAATCTCTAACAGAATTTCACAAATCCACTTAGATATTATAAAAGACAATATAAAACAGCCATATGGGATAGCACATACCTGCAACCTCAGGAAGCTGAGGCAGCAGGATCATGAGTTTGAGGCTAGATTAAGCTATGTAGTGAATTCCAGGACAGTCTGGGCTGCATAATGAGACTGTCTTCTGTATTCCTTTCCCACCTCCAAAAAAAAAAAAAAAAAAAAAAAAAATTGGTTAGTGGTCTGGAGAGATTGCTCAGTGGTTAAGAGCACTGGCTGCTCTTTCAGAGGACCTGAGTTCAATTCCCAGCACCCATGTGGCAGCTCACAACTGTGTAACTCAGTTCCAGGGGATCTGACACCTTCACACCAATGCACATAAAATAAAGTTTAAAAAAAAGGGGGCTGGAGAGATGGCTCAGAGGTTAAGAGCACTGACTGCTCCTCCAGAGGTCCTGAGTTCAAGTCCCAGCAACCACATGGTGGCTCACAACCATCTGTAATGAGATCTGGTGCCCTCTTCTGTATACATAATAAATAAATAAATCTTAAAAAAAAAAAAGAAGAAAAAAAAAAAAAAGAAAAAGTTTAAAAAAAAAAAAGTAATGACAGAAACTTCTGTCTTCCACCACTATCTTAATAGATAAATGACCAAACACATAAAAAATAAATAAAATTTATGCTTACTATCAGTAAATATTTGATTTGGTTATTTTACATTTCTCATATGTATTCCTATGTATGAGGGATGACAAAAAGGGCTTTTTTTTTTTTTTTTGTATATCTGCATGAGGGTCTCAGGTCCCCTGGAACAGGAGTTACAGACAGTTGTGAGCTGCCACGTGGGTGCTGGGAATTGAACTCAGGTCCTCTGAAAGAGCAGTCAGTATTCTTAACTACTGAGCCATTACTCCAGCCCTGATAAAAAGTTTCTTTAATCCCAGCACTCGGGAGGCAGAGCCAGGCGGATCTCTGTGAGTTCAAGGCCAGCCTGGGCTACATGGGCTACAGAGTGAGTTTCAGGACAGCCAGGGATACACAGAGAAACCCTGTCTTGAAAAACCAAAAAAACCCAAAACAAAACAGTTTCTTAGCAGGGTCCTGAGTTTAAGAACATGTTTTGTGTGTTGCTGTGTGACTGCTGGATGAAGTTCTCTTCACTAAGGTAGTGGTGAAGCGATGTGTAGTTTGCTGCTGTGGTTCCGGTTGTGTAGTAAGTGCCGTGCAAGAGAGCTGAGTGTTGTTCAAAACAGCAGATTTGTTACGTGCTGAGTCTTCAGTTAACTTTGGGTTGTTGCACTGAGGCCAGCACCTCCCCCATACACATTGGATTTTGAAACCTCCCCTATGAGGGCATGACCTTCAGTTTAAGAAGTTAACGAACGTCTAGGCTGTGTATCCCTAAGTTTTCCAAGGGTTTGGGCACTAGGTGAGAAAGTACGGTGGTCCTTCTGTGGACACCAGGCAGTCATGTGGTGCACAGACACACATGGAGGGAAAACACTCACACAATTAAAAAGGTGCTAAGTATAGATGTGAGAAGACCTCCTCCTTGTAGAGATGGAAACTGCAGTGTCAAAGATGGGAACTGGCGGGAGGGCTCAGTAGGTAAAGTTCTTGTGGATAAGCTTGTTGCCCTGAGTTTGATATCCAGAGCCTACACAGCCAAGGTCTTTATCAAATGTGCTGGAAAACTAGAAACCCTGAAGATAGAAGAACCTCAGTAAACCCGAAGTGCTAGAAACATGTAGAAAGTGCAACAGGGCAGAAATAAATAGAAAATCTTAAAGACCACCGGGAAAGAAAGACACAGAAGAGTACGAGGAGAGCTTTGATTAGAGCTCCTTGTGTCTACAGGTGTGTGGAGGGCAGAGGCCTGCCTGCCTGCCTGCCTGTTTGTTTGTTTGTTTTTTGGCCTGTGAGATAGTGTCTCTTTGTAACCCTGGCTGGCCTGGAATTGGCTATGTAGACCAGGCCAAACTCAGAGATCCACCTGCCTCTGCCTCCCAAGTGCTGGGATTAAAGATGTGCATACATGTACACACACACACACACACACACACACACACACACACACACACACACACCACCCCCACTCCCGACTACCCTTCCTTATTTCAGGGTTTCTCTCATTTTGGCTGCATCTCGTGTTTCTACCCTCCCTGAGACTGGGATGTCATATGCAAGCCACCTCATCTTTTTGTTGTTGTTGTTGGTTTTAGATTGTATTTATTTGTATTTTATGCATATCAGTATTTGCCTTAGTATATGTCTGCACATGTATGCCTGGTGCCAGTCAAGGCCAGAAGTGGATATCAGATCCCCTGGGACTGGAGTTTACTGACTTGTGAACTGCCATGTGGGTGCTGAACCAGGTCCTCTGGAAGAGCGGCCAGTGCTCCACTGCTGGGCTGTCTCTCCAGCCCCTCGTCTGACTGTACAGGGATTCCAAAGATTGACCTCGGGTTATCAGAGTTGCATAGCCAGTGATTTCACCTGCTAGGCCATCCCACCAGCCCTGGAAAGCTTTAGCTATGCATGCTTTCTGTATAAAATTCACTTCTTGCCAGGCAGTGGTGAGGCACACCTTTAATCCCAGCACTCAGGAGGCAGAGGCAGGGAAATTTCTGTGAGTTTGAGGCCAGCCTGGGCTACAGAGTGAGTTCCAGGACAGCCAGGGCTACACAGAGAAACCCTGTCTCGATGGGGGGAAAATCACTTCTGTTTGGGTTGTTGTTTTGTGTTTAATTTTTCTCATTGTTATTTGATGAGCAGAGAAAACAAGTCTATACAACATATATTCTTGCTCTGCAGGTCATAGACAGTTTGTGAAATGAGTGATTCAGAAGATGATGATATACCCCAGCTCTCTTCCCACGCCTTAGCAGCTCTCCAGGAATTTTATGCTGAGCAGAAGCAATCCATCAACCCAGGGGGGGATGATAAATATAATGTTGGGGTAATAAAGGAAAACTGGGTAAGTAAAGGCATCCATGTCAGGAAATAGCAGTGTGGCACTTACCATTGCCTTGTCAATGTTTAGTCTGTCTTTCCCTCTGCCACCTGTCATTCAGAAACAGAGATCTCTGGAGGGAGCAAGGGCAGGAAGCAGACAGCGACATCCTAGGACAGTATGCACAGATTTTCCTGCCTCTCACGGGCAGGCTGGCTGGTGACCAGAGGAGGGGTAGGATTTTGCAGGTAGTGGGATAATAATGTCATGTCCATAAGTAACTTGTGCTTTGTCCCCATTGGTTTTCATAGAACCCACCAATCCTAAAATACATCGTTTCAGTAAAAGGGGTAGCTGAACCTAACATAGAATGAAAAGTCGATGGAAGAATTTTTAAGAATAGGGTAATTTTTAGTTTTATACATTTTTGTATTTTGTAGCCAGTGAGTTCGAGACCAGCCTGATCTACAAATTGAATTCCAGGACAGCCAGGACTGTTACACAGAGAAACCCTGTCTCGAAAAAACAAAACACACACACACACAAAACAAAACAAAAAGTAGATACCAGGGCAATGGTGCATCTTGTAATCCTAGCACCCAGGAGGCAGAGGCAGGAGGATCAAGCAGCCTGAGGTCCACTAGGCTACATAGTGAGTTTAGGGATAGACTGGGACACATAGCAAGCCCTTACCTCAAAAAGGTAAACTAAAAAAGAAGTAGGAATTAAAAAACTAAAACTGGCTGGGCCGGGGTACACACTCCTTTAATCCCAACACTCGGGAGGCAGAGCCAGGCGGATCTCTGAGTTTGAGGCCAGCCTGGTCTACAGAGTGAGATCCAGGACAGGCTCCAAAACTACACAGAGAAACCTTGTCTCGAAAAAAATCAGAAAAAAAAAAAAAAACTGTTGAGGGAAACCTCTACCATAAGTTGAGTAACAAAGCCTCAAATTTGTCTCGACTAATTTCGAAGTAACACCCTGTCTTTCCCTGTCACTTGGTAAGTGAAGAAAGGTTTTATATCTTGTTTTGTTTTGTTTTGTTTTTTTAATACTTTTCATTTTTTGCTCAGGTTAGATCTTTCTGATCATCTTCCACCCTCGCTTAAAACTATGGTATAAAAATGGTCCTTTCCCTTTACTCCAGGGGTTCTACCCAGTCAGAAACCTTTCTTATGGTTTCCGTCTTGTGGTTTGTTTTTGGTTTTTGAAGACAGGGTTTCTCTGTGTATCCCTGGCTGTCCTGGAACTCACTCTGTAGCCCAGGCTGGCCTTGAACTCACAGAGATCCGCCTGGCTCTGCCTCCCGAGTGCTGGGATTAAAGGCGTGCGCCACCACTGCCCGTAGTTTACCCCCCATCCTTGTACATTTTTATTTGTTATTTTGTTCAGGACTGGCTTTGAACTCCTGCTCTTCTGCCTGCCTCTACCTCCAGGTGCTGGGATTCCAGCTGTACCACCACACTGACTTCTCTCTGTGTTTTTCCCTTTAGCTTGCTCATGTGGATGAGCAGCATGAATTTGAAGTATTATTCTTTAGGTGGTCTATCTTTTTTTCCTGCTTACTATTTAGAATATTACATTTACATACTTCTTTTCTGACTCTAAAATAGCTGTTGTATAAAATATATAAAAGCATGAACAAAAACTTACTTATTATTGCTTATTATTATCACTTATCTAATTTGGGGACTTTAATTTAGGGGCAGGGAACTTTATTCCCAGCATTCAGGAGGTTGAGGCAGGAGGATCATTAGATCAAGGCTGGCCTGAGTTATACCGAGAGACCCCCATCTCTAAAACAAATAAACAAAAATTACCAAGGACTGGGAATATAGCTCATTGGTAGACCACTGCCTAACATGTATTGCACACATGTATTCCTGTGTTCCATATCTAGCAATACACACACACATGCACACGTGCACACAAACATGTGCATGCACACAGAGACACAAGAAAAGCAAGAAAATTCTGGATGTGGATAGTAAAGAAGATCCAGGAGGGGAGGGGTTGGCGAATTGGCTCATTAGTAAAGTACGTATCATGTAGCCATGAGGACCTGAGTTCAGCTTCAGCACCAGGTAAACAGCTGTCAGGGGTGATGCACACTTGTGACCCCAGCACTGGGGGGTAATGCACACTTGTGATCTCAGCACTGGGGGGTGATGCACACTTGTGATCTCAGCACTGGGGGGTGATACACACTTGTGACCCCAGCACTGGGGGGTGATGCACACTTGTGACCCCAGCACTGGGGGGTGATGCACACTTGTGACCCCAGCACTGGGGGGTGATGCACGCTTGTGACCCCAGCACTGGGGAGGTGGACACACGAGGACCCCCTAGAACTTCCTGGCCAGCTAATCTAACCAAATTGATGAGCCCCAGCTTTAGTGAGCGTCTTGTCAAAACATAATAGTAAGGTGAGGAGCAGTTGAGGAGGCATCCAGTGCTCACAGACACATGCCACACACACGAAAGAAGATCCCAACCCTTCCCCAGGAGGAGCAGGCCATCCTAGAATCTCAGTATCAGAGCCTCGTTGCCCCTCTCAATAACTTGATTAGAAACCAGAACTTTAGAGCTGTACTTGGTGGTACACGTCTGTTACCCCAGCACTCGGGAGGCAGAGGCAGGTGGAGCTCTGAATTTGAGACCAGCCTGGTCTACAGAGCTGGTCCCACAATAGCCAGAGCTACACAGAGAAACTCTGTCTTGAAATACCAAAAACAAAAAAAAACAAAACAAAAGAGAGAAAGACAGAAACTAGAAGTCTAGGTCGTACATGCATGTCGGTTACGCAGCACACAGGAGGGTGGGGGTGGAAGAGCTTAGGGTATCCTGAGCTACATAGCAAGTCTGAGGCCAGCCTCATCACTGCCACCTCACTCATAAAAAACTGGATTGCTAGCTGTGGTGGTGGCTGCCTTTAATCCCAGCACTGGTAGGGGGCCGTTGGCTGAGGCAGGTGTATCTGAGTTCCAGGTCCAGCCTGGGCTACTTAATGACACTCTTTCTCAAAAGGAAGAAGGAAGGGAAGGAGGGAGGGAAGAAAAAAGCTAGAAATCTAAAATTCTGTCAGTATTCTGATAAAAATACGTTCAGCTAAGCTGTCAGTCAAGTGTGAGGACAAAGTAATACATTTTAGACTGGCGACACTCCCTCCCAACAGAAAGGTCTGCTCTAGCAAGTAAACCAAGGAAGGAAGGTGTGAGCTCTCGGGAGGTGGCCATACGACACACAGCAGGAGAAGGTGCCTAGATGACGGTGACACTGAGTCAGGGAGGTGCCCTTCTGAAAACCAGGACAACATTGGTCTTCCAGGAGATCTCTGGGGGAGCGGGGGATAGAATGGTAGAATACTCAGCAGGAAGAGGGTTGTATTCAAAGACCAACAGAGGGTTTGGGAGAACTGAGGGTAAATACAAAGGACTTGGGACAGCTCATTTGGTGGAGCGCTCACCTAGCATTCATGAAACTGGATTCATCCCTAGAACTTCACAAAATGGGCACGATGGCTCACACTTATAATCCCAGCACTTGAAGGGGGCGGGGAAGGAGAATCAAACGTTTCAAGCTCATTCTTGGCTACATAGGGAGTTCAAAGCCAGTGTGGGATATGTGAGACCCTGTCTCTAAATAAATAATAAATGGATGAGGCAATCATGCATGTATTGACTAGGAAAAGCAGATGACCCCACACTGGAAAGTCATGTACTCAGTCTGTTATGTGGGTCAACCGTGTTGGTTCCAGTTATCCAAATGTGGATTACACCTCCATGGAGATGATAAGGGAGGGAGTGTGTATGAGAGAGCACAGGACGCCAGAGAACTAGATCAGCTGGAGATTGCATTTAAACACAGCATTTAGAGGTGGGGTGACAGGGTGAAAAGCCAAGAACTGAAGGTAACGGCTTCTGATGAATGGGGCCCGAGAGTGAGGAGATGTGGGGTGATAGGAGGCTTAGTTTTCGTTGTAAATCTAGTAGCTTGGGGGGGGGTTGTTTTGCTTATAAGGCCATGTTCCTATAAGACAGTAAGAATACAGCCTCAGTAATTCCACGGCTTTGGAGGTGGGTGTTAAGAGGAACAATGCTTTTTGAATGGAGGTGGGGAAGGAAGGGAAAGAGAGAAAGGAAAAAGAAAAGGAAAAGATTTTTCTTATTTTGTGGAATGATGTGAGGAGAACCAAACCCGTAGGCCACTAATAGTGCTGATGAGGAATGGGGTCGTTTGGACCCTCCCTGTGGACCGCTCCTGTGACTCGGGATGCTTGAGAGCAGATACGGTCCTCTGCGTCTGTGATGCAGGGGAATGAGACTCCTTTCCTCCAGCCACCCATGTAGAATCCATGTAGACACAGGCATGAATTCATATGTACATGTAAATGTATGTGTGCATTCTGTCTTTGGAAACATTTTGAATCTTGTGTTTACAAGTAAATATTCAGCCAGTGCTGTGCAGACTAAATGTGAAATATATAAAAATGCTGGTTTGCATTAGCCAGAAATGTTACTGACTTAAAGAATCATGCATACTTTCATACCATTTGCTATTTGAAATAACAAATTCAGTTGTAATTTTGAAGGCTGCTGACCCATGACTAGTAAGTCCTCCCAGATAAACCTTTTGACCAGAGCTGGAGTAAGACTACATCTTACCTAGGGCTGGGGATATGACTCAGTTGGTAAAGAGCTTGCTTTACCTGCGTGAGGCCCTGGATTTGACCCCTGCACTCAGTAATTAACAACAATAATACCAGTGAATACTAGTGCTGGGAATGGAGTGCTTGCCTAGCACATACAAGGCACTGGATTCAATTTCAGGAGTCCAAAGGAAGAAGAGAAGCATTTAGCTGGGCGTGGTAGCTCATTCCTGTCATGTCAGCTTTCAGAGGGGCTGAGGCAGGGGATCAGCTGTGAGCTTGACATCAGTCTGGGCTACATAATAAGTTCCAGCTCGGGCTGAGCAAGTGTAAGCCCTTAGCTCTAAATAATGATTTAATGCTAATCACACAAAGCAACAATAGATGGTAGAGAGAGAGATGACTTAGCAATTAAGAGTGTTTGCATTTTCCAGAGGACCTGAGTTCAGTTTCCAGCACCCACACAGGCAGCTCACAGCTGCTTGGAACTCCAGCTCCAGGGATCAAACATCCTCTTCTGGCCTCAGGCTGTGCACACGCGTGTGAGCACACACACACTCAACATGCACACACACCAAAACCCCCCAAAATAATATAAGTAAATAAATGAACAAGGCTAGGGCAATATTAAATAAAGCAGAGTGTTCTAAGGCTGCAGCGATGGCTGCCGTGACAGGCGTTGAGATAGCAAAATGCAAGGGTCTCAGTGCAGACACTGGGTTAGCGGGAGGGTCAGAAGAAATATCCAGAGGCCAGGGAGACAGCCCAGCGGGCAAAGCTATTTGCCAGAAGAAAGCATCCGAAGTGACAGCAGGTATCGGGTGCTGCATTGCCCTTGACTTAGCAAACGTCAGTCCTCACCGTCTGTGCACAGAACTAACGTCTCTATAGATTCAGGTGTTAAAATAAGAATATTAAGAAGATGCAGTGTTTATGATCTAGGGTAAGGAAACAGATGATGGATAAAACTGATGACATAAGATTAGCTTATAAGCTTTAATTCCAGCACTCAGGAGGCAGAGCCAGGTAGATCTCTGTGAGTTCGAGGCCAGCCTAGTCTATGGAGCAAGATCCAGGAAAGGACCAAAACTGCACAGAAACCCTGTCTCTAAAAACAAAACAAAACAAAAAAATTAGCTTATAAAGTTTAGAGACAAGACAAGGAGTGTCTGTGGATGAGACCTGTGGATGAACACCCCTTGTACTCATGAGCCAAGAATAGCCAGCACTGGAAACTGCGGAACCATTCATTTATTTCTGTGTGCATGAGTGTTTGCTCACATGGATGTATGTGTACCATGTGCATGCCTGCTGCCCAAGGAGGTCAGAAGAGAGTACTGGACCCCTGGAACTGCAGTTGTAGATGGTTGTGAGCCACCGTGGGGGTGCTGGGAATGGAACCCAGGTTCTCTGCAAGGGCAACAGGTGTTATTAACCGCTGAGCCTGTCTCCAGGCCATCAGAACATTTTCATTGCCTCAGGAGGAAACCCGTCTCTCCTCTTTAGCTGTCATGGCCTCCCTGGCAGTCCTCCCATTGCCTGGCAACCCTAGTCTTCCTGTTCCTGTCTGTTGCTTCTTCTGGGTATTTCATAGGAATGGACTCACCTAACAAGTATGATTTTGAGTCTGATTTTTTTTTTCCACTCAGTGTTTCCCAGTACACACCTGTTCTACACTGTAGCACATGTCAGTACCTAGGTCCCTCTGGATGGACCCGAGTCTGCTGTGTGGGTATACACTGCATTTTTGTGGGTGCCTATTCTTCGCCTGGCAGGCTCTTAGCTTGTTCGTGCTCTTGACAGATTTTCATTTCTTTAACAAATAATCTTCTAGAACCTGGGGCCCCACACATGCCAGGCAAGCACTGACCTACATCCCCAGACCTTGGACGGATTTTCAGTCAGACTCTGCATGACAGCATGGACATCCTAGGTGAGAGAGGTGGAGAAATGCGCTGGCCACAGAGGAAAACCAGACTGCTTTTCCACATTAGCACCATCCTTCACTTATAAATACGAATATGTAAGTAGGAACCCCCAGAAATGTAAAGAAAGTCACCCATCAGTATGAAACCAAACAGGAAGACTAAAAGCAAACGTAACTGTGAGGAACACAGCAAATAACTTGGGAAGCATGGAGGAGGTGAGGACAAAGGAGCGTGGACACTACTGACTGGCCACAGGGGTCTTCAGCACGCTGTCCTTTGAGTCTGGATTCCTCTCCATGGTGGTTGACTCTGGAAGTCTAACCAGGTTCAGGTGGGTATGTTCTGCCATCAAGAGAACACTGGCTGGTTGTTGGTGTTATCTCTGTGACACTCACAGCCCCTGATACTCAGTGTGTAGATTCTGTTGATACACTGGGGGGTTGTACTAATTATGTAATAAATGACTTACAAGAAAAGTGAGCTGATGACAAGTTAAATATATGTGTACAGGTTTAGGAGGTAGACGCTGGAGAAGTGTGTGTGAATTCTGAGCTGGTCATCCTGTTCCCATTACAGCAGCTGAGCCAGTTCTGGTACAGTCAGGACACTGCTTTGCGGCTTGCACAGGAAGCGATCGCTGCTGCTGGAGAAGGTGGCAGGTGAGATTCAGTTTTTTTTCTTTCTCTTTTCTAGTTTAAATTAGTTTGAGGGACACATGGAAACACAATCATGACACTTATGAGGCACAGATGAATGTATAAATGAATTTGTTTGTTTGTTTGTTTTGTTTTTTTTGAGAAAGGGTTTCTCTGTGTAGTTTGGACCCTGTCCTGGATCTCGATCTGGAGACTAGGCTGGCCTCGAACTCAGAGATCCGCCTGCCTTTGCCTCCCAAGTGCTGGGATTAAAGGCATGTGCCACCACTGCCTGGCTATAAATGAGTATTTTTAATATCCTTCCTAAATGAGACGGTTTCTTAAAAGTCTGAATTATAATATGTAAATATTGTCACATGGTTTGCAGCTCATGGCTCACTAAGAGCTGCTCCAGTACAAAGTCTAGGGAACACTGGGAAATCTATTCACTGTAGCGTCTCTCTCACTCCCACACCCTTCTCTCTGAGACAGGGCCTCATATAGCCCAGGCTAGCCTCAGACTTTTTATGTAGTCCGTCTCCTAAGACCTGAGATTACACTGTGAGCTCCCACTCCCAACTTCGCTAACATTTCTCATTTCTACTTTTTCTCCTTTTCTTTTGCAGCATTAGGGATCAAATGCAGGGTGTTGTACATGCTGGGCAAGGACTCTAGCAAGCTACATCTTCAACTTTATCGGAATTTTCCCAGGGGCCTGCCCTGAGAAAATCCTTCCCAGAGTCCTGGGGAAGATGCTACATCCGGTGTGGGGTTATCTGGGGGAAAAGAATTTATGTACACCAATTTCTTACATCTGTTTACTTTATTTCTCTATAACAAACTTCTGTCTACACAGGTTCAGTTCTGTCCTGACGCTCAGTTCTTCTCTGTCCCTTCTTTTCTGCCCTCTCATAGTCCTAGTAATAGCTAAGCTCTTACGCTCTCGACCTCATCCTCATCTTCTGTTCCTCCTTCCTCCATCTTTCCTTCCTCTTTTCCTACAGTCTGCAGAACTTTCCCCTCTCCTTACTCCTTGGCCTGAGCCAGTCTGCCTTACTACCTACCGAAAAGCTGCCTTGTTCTTTTCTCTCCGGCCACAGGACTCTGACCAGACTAGGAATTCTGCTCCAGTCTTTACAGCACCTGGTTATGCAAAAAACTCTTTTGTCTTGAGTCAATAGCTCTGGCATGCTACTAGGCCTGAAGGAAAGGGATGGTCTGAGCTTCATCTGCACAAGAAACAAAGCTATGCATCCACAGCCCACCTGTCTCCTAGGCACTGTAGGGGTTTTACCTAGTAGATCAGCACTAGGTCTGAGAAGCTTAGCTGTTTGCCATGTGGCCTAGTAGTATATGAGCGCACAAGAAATTCATAGCTGAAGACAGCTGATATATTAAAAGCTGAATATCACCAAATATTCCTTGATATTTGACTTTCCTCTAGAAGAATTTCCCTGACCCTTCTAGGTATAGCTTTATTATATAAAGCTGAATCTCTGTTTCATGCAGTTGCGGCCGCAGCACAACTTCTTAGGGGGAAAAATTATTTTCCCAGGGCACCCTCTAGCTTTGCTTCAGCTCTTCCTGAGGACCCCCCCCCCCCCCCGGCCAGCATGCCGGGGTCTTTCAGCCCGCTCTGTTCTAGGCTCCCCATTCCATTTCTGTGCTCCAGTTCTTAGTCTTCAGTCTAAGCGGGTTACACCCCATGCCTTCCACAGAAGAGGGACTTGCCAGAAAATTGTTTTGATTTCCTCTTTCTCTGAACTATAAGAGTTTTGCTGAGTGTCTGATTCTGGCTTTTGAAAATGTTATTCCGTTAAGAAACCCAACATTCAAAAAGAAAAAAAGAAATCTAACATTTGACCGTATGTAGACAATCTGCTTTCTCCCTCCCACCCACTGCGTGTTTGGGATTGTCTCTTAACCCCTGGTATTCAGTGTCTTGATGTACAACTTCCTCTCCCACACTGGACCCTGGGGAGGGCCTTCATTCGTGTGGCTCGTGTTTAATTTGGGAGGTTTCTTAAGTTATTGCTTCGATTCCCCCATCACTCCTGCTGTGTGTGTGTCTTTGTTTTCTGTTCCTTTTCCTGGAACTTCTGTTATTTGAGAATGGAACCTGATCCACTCACCCCACTCCCCTTTTTTAAAAAACCAGTTGTCTCTACCCAGATTTTCTGGACGAATCCTCAGCTTGTATCTTCTGCGTTCTGTGGTGAACACTTGAGAGAGTGACAGGATTTATTTTGGATGATGGTTGCAGACATTTCAGTTCGAGGTGTGCTGGCTTCATTTCAGAGCTCGAATACAGCAGAGTGGTACCTCTTGGCAGCCAGGAAGCAGACAAACAGAGGATGCGTCCCTGGGCAAGGTGTGCCCTTCAAAGGCCCATCCCCAGTGGCCTGCTTTCTCTAAAGTATCCACTCCTCAAAATGACACCCCAGCGGAGTACTAAGCCTTCAACACACGAGTAATGTCTCCTTCCTGCGTACCCTCTGTTGACCCTGAGTAATTTCCCTCATATGTCATATTAGATGTTCTCCTGGCATGTTGGCTGAGCCCTGCCTTCTCCTTCATTCCTAAGGGTAGGCGCAACACTTAAAAACTAGGAGAGTTGACCTAAGGGTGGTGTGTGCTGGGGAGGCATTTCAGGGACCACCGGTGAGCTGTACCCCATCCCTCTTTTTGCTGGGTCTCTGTAGTGAGGGATCCGGACAAGCTGTTTCCCAAGAAGCCTCTGAGCTTTTCCTGTGTGTTGGTTGGAGGTCCAGGCCAGCAGCCTTCAATGCCTGGAGGGAGTCTCCGCGGCCAGTTGGTTTACTGTGACCCTTGGAACTTCTCATCTTCAACCTGTGACCCATGGTGCTGGCATTGGGATCCAGGACCTTGCTCTCCCACTAGCCCTCTAATCTCCACAGGATATCTTTCGGTCATCTGTGTCTGGCACTCCCTCCCAGACATCCCCCAGGCCACAGAACATTCCTCCAGTTTTCTCCAGTTACCTCATCGCATGGGGATATGAAAGCGAAGCCTGGGAACAAACTGTTTCTTAAATAGATCTTTCACAGCTTCTGTTTTTAGCCCCACCTTCACCCTCATGGCTTGAGTTTCCTGGGTCTGCTTTCCCGGAGCCCCTGGGGATGCTGTGAAGGAAGCCAGGCACTGCTCAGCGCTCCTGGCTGCTCCTGCCAGGTTTAACTGCCTGGGCCAGCTGAGCCAACCACTCCACCTGTTTACTCTTCAGCTTCCTGAGTGTAGCTACTTTACTCCCCTGCCCTGTTCCCTTTGCTCTCAGAAATTTATTCCTAAACAACAAAACAAAAAGGAATTTTGCTTAATGGACTTCGATGGGGGGACACATGGGACTCATGTGAATGAGTGTGTCCCATGTGTCTTCCTCAGCTGGAAGTCTTATTTTCTCTGTCTTTGATTTTACATTGCTGTTTATTTGGTTTTTCTTAGCTAGTTGGCTTTCAACTACTGATAAATACTTGAGATAATGGCTGATTCGGGCTCGTGTGTTTGGAGGGTTTGGTTATGGTGAGCTGGCCTGTGGGAAGCAGCAGCACATATGGCAGAGGTAGCCAGGAACCAAAGCAAAGCAATGACCCAGCTTCCTCACAGCCCCTTCTACTGACCAGAGACCAAGGCTTTAAACATACCCATTTCAGCTGGCCAGTGGTAGCCCACACCTTTAATCTCAGCATTTGGGCAGATCTCTGAGTTCGAGGCCAGCCTGGTCTACAGAACAAGATCCGGGACAGCCAGGGCAACACAGAGAAAAACGCTGTCTCAAAAAATAAAACCAAACAACACTATACAAATGTCTGTAAGACATTTGAGGTTGAAGCTGAAACATTTGGTGATAGTATTTTCTTTGATATGTTGGTTTTTCCCACTAATTTTTAATTTTGTTTTGTTTTGTTTTTTTGAGGCAGGGTTTCTCTATATAGCTTTGGAGCCTGTCCTGGATCTCACTCTGTAGACCAGGCTGGCCTCGAACTCACAGAGATCTACCGCCTCTGCCTCCCAAGTGCTGGGATTAAAGGCGTACGCCACCACCGCTCAGCTAATTTCTAATTTTTACCATTAAATATTAATTGGAATCAACTTTTCTCTTTCTTTCTTTCTTTCTTTCTTTCTTTCTTTCTTTCTTTCTTTCTTTCTTTCTTTCTTTCTTTCTTTCTTTCTTTCTTTCTTTCTTTCCTTCCTTCCTTCCTTCCTTCCTTCCTTCCTTCCTTCCTTCCTTCCTTCCTTTTTTCTGAAAGGGGAGTTCAGTGTTGGTAGAGCCATGCTGCTGTAGAGGCAGCGAGGGTGCTGACCCCAGGCCCTCCCCGCTGTACCCCACCTGCTCACCGCTGTGTTCACATCTCCGGGGAGCAGTTACTTTTATACTCTATGTTTTCTTTTGTTCATTTTAGTTTATTTTTGCTAGGTCTTTGAGAATTTTGTATGATGCGTTTTGATTATATTCACCACCCCAGTCCTCCCAGATGTCCCCCCCCAACTTTATGCCGTCTTTTCTTTTTTAATCCATCAGGTGGGATCTGTATGGAGTGTGGCCTTCACTGGAGTGTGGTCAACCACAGGGGGCTGTAGCCTTTAAGAAAACTCACTGTCCCTTCCCCAGCAATTATCAGCTGGCAGCAGCTCCTTGGCTAGAAGTGGGACCTGGCGCCACCTCCCCTCTCCATGCTGGGATTTTGCCAGCCCAAGCCTGCAAAGGTCTTTTGTTTGTATTTTTGTATTTTCAAGACAGGGTTTCTCTGTGTAACAGCCCTGGCTGTCCTGGATCTCACTCTGCAGACCAGGCTGACCTCGAACTCACAGAGAGATCCGCCTGCCTCTGCCTCCTGAGTGCTGGGATTAAAGGCGTGCGCCACCACTGTCTGGCCAAAAGAGACTTCTAATCTTAAACCATCACATGAACTGCCTTTTAGGGAATAAGTGTATTACATGTTAGTTGTTTTAAAAAGGGATCAGATGCAAAAGTCACAAATACATACAGTAAAATAAGTCATAGTCTTTACATGGATGCAAATGTATTATATGGAGGTATAGCTTGTAAACAACTGAATGTATGTAAGTTTCCTGTATGTGGTTAATGCATTCAGTAAGGACGTAAGGAATCTTCCTTTAAGTTTTTTTTTTTTTTTTTTTGGTTTTTTCGAGACAGGGTTTCTCTGTAGTTTTGCGCCTTTCCTGGAACTCACTTTGTAGACCAGGCTGGCCTCGAACTCACAGAGATCCGCCTGGCTCTGCCTCCCGAGTGCTGGGATTAAAGGCGTGCGCCACCACCGCCCGGCTCCTTTAAGTTTTAAGTGGAACCGAATTAAAATACTTTTTTTCTAGAATCAGAAAAAACAATGAAATCTGAGCATAGAGAGTTTTAAAAAGTGATTATTTGCACCATTCATGATCTCAGGTTATACACTCGCTTCCAGAATTGCATGCCTGAGTGCACCCAGCGTGTATCAGAAGCTCCGGGAGCTGCATGGCGGGGACATCTCTGTATACATCTTTGAGTATGACAAAAGATTCGCCATATATGGGGAGGAATTTGTCTTCTATGATTACAACAGTCCACTGGACTTACCCGGAAGAATCACCGAGCACAGCTTTGACATTGTGGTTGCCGATCCCCCTTACCTGTCTGAGGAATGTCTCAGGAAGACATCCCAAACGATCCAGTTCCTGACTCAGGGCAAGGTTCTGCTGTGCACAGGTGGGTGCTGGCTTTTAGGGTTGGCAGAGATCTCAGAACCAGATCCTGAATCTGCCACTTACTGTATGACCTTAGCCAAGTTATATGACCTCCCTTGCCCCAGAGGGCCATTGTGAATCGAGTGATGTAGTACACATGATGTGCTTAAGCATGGTCTGACTCACACCCATGGACACGTTAGCTATTCTTTTTAGTAGCCCACCACCAGTATGGGCACATACATGCACTAAACACATAGCACATCTATGCACCACACCACACACACATGCACATAATAAAAAGAAGTGGAAAAAGTAAGCACTTTGCAAACATGTTAGAGGAAGTAAAAAGGAATATAAAGACTGTATCCTGGGGCTGGAAAGATGGCTCAGCAGTTAAGAGCACTGGCTGCTCGGTCAGAGGACCCAGGTTCAAGTCCTAGCACTCACATGGCAGCTCACACCTGTCTGTAACTGCAATTCCAGGGCTTCTGACACCTTCACACAGATATACATGCAGGCAAAACACTAATACACATAAATTGAAAGAATAATAAATAAATAAATAAATAAATAAATACTATATCCTGTGTGCAGTGAGATTGTCCCCCGACTATTCAGGGGTTTCATCTAGAGCCCAGGTGTGGGTGCCTTTGACCCTCAGCTCACTCGCTTTGTTCTTCACAGGAGCCATCATGGAAGAGCAGGCTGCTCAGCTCCTCGGTGTGAAGATGTGTAAGTTTATTCCAGAGCACTCCCGAAACCTGGCCAACGAGTTCCGCTGTTACACCAACTATGATTCTGGTCTGGACTATGAAACCTAAATTCACATGGCAACATGTGACAATAAAGGACTCGGAGGAACACGTCCACTTCCCAGTTTACTCTCTTTCTGTTGACATGTGACCTCCCCACTCTGCCCTGGACTGGAACTCTCCTGGCTTAATTTTCAAACTAAAATGTCTTACTGCTGTTTCAGTAATGAAGCTGGGATTCTTACATGAACCAGGTCCGTGGACTTGAGTAGAGAGAAATGTTAGAAGCTGTCTAATTGTTCAGCACCTGTGAAAACAACAGGCCTCCTGAATGGCACAGGACCTTGGCCTCTGCTAGAAGTTTCCATAACATGGGCAGCTTTTGCCTGCCCAGTGGACTGAGAGTGCTCTGGAAGCTTCTTAGAGACCTGACCTGCCTCCACGGAGCAGGTTGATGATCCAAGCAACCAGTGTTCCAGCTCCTCCCGCGTTCAACCTCCCTCTCAGCTCTGAGAGTCCTGATGGAATGTAGCCCTGCTGGCCCAGCATGTGGCCCAGCTCAGCACCTCACTCCAGACTGGGAGAGGGGATGGCAGTGCCAAGCCAGACTCCACAACCAAGCAACAGAGCTGGGGTCTGTGCTGGACCCTTGCTGTGAACAGCTATTTACATCCACCCATACCCCAGAAGTCAAGAGACTACCACCAGCTGGAAGGTGGCACCTGTCTGTAATCCCAGCACTAGGGAGGTTGGGGCAGGAGGGTTGTAAGTTTGGGGTCAGCCTGAGTCACTCTGTCTCCAAATAAAACCATGGATAAGAAGAATTTGAGAGATCTTAAGGGGCATCATGCTGAGTGCAAAAGCCAGCTCCAAAGCCCACACTCGCTATGTTTCCAGTCACAATGTCTGAGAATGGAGAACAGCATAGTGGTGACAAGGATCAGGATGGGACATGGCAAAGGAGGCTGAGTGTGGCCACAAAGGGCCATTCTCTGTGGTACTGGGATGTCCTGTCCTTTTCTGCGGTAGTTCACAGCTCTGCTTGTGATCACATTACATGGTGCACGTGAATCTGGCTGACTCCAAATGGCATCCAGGGACAGTCATTGCCATTTTCCTGGCTGTGACATCACACACAGTTACCCAACATGCTGCTTTCAGGGTGTTGGGTCTCAGGCCCCTCCGTATGTTTAGAATGAGCTCCAGCTGGGCTATGGGATTTCTGGTGGGCAGATAAAAGCCAGCTACCTTGGGAACTTGTGAAAGTGGCTTTCCATCCCCCAAAGGAGCCCTTGTCCCGGCTACTTGTCCTTATAATCCACATGATCTGTCCCTGCCCCCCCCCCCCGCCCCCCAGCTCTCACTACTCACCCTGCACTCTGGTCTCTGCTCTCCAGTTCTCTCACACTGCTCCGTCTCTTGCTCTCTCCACTGTTCTCTTCCACTTCCACAGCCCTGGCCATGTCCAGTCTGCTTTCCTTTCTCTATGCCTCTGGATATAGTCTCTCTCTTACCCACAGTAAAAACCTTTCCCCTAATGGAGCGGTCATATTGGCAGTTTCTGTACCACACCCCTCACCCATCACCAGAAACATGTCAAGAGTAAGTACATAAGGTCCCTCTGGTGGTTTGGTAACTTTTGAGACCTACAATCATGCCAAAATTTAAAAAAAAAAATCAACCTGTCTCTCTGGGAAAGGATAATTTGCTTTGACCAAAAGAATGTCAGCTGGCCGCATGTCACTTGTTCTATCCCCCACCCTCACACTGCCCAGCATTCTCTGGGTGGAAGTTGCTCTAGCAGCTAGCCCTTGACTTGGACAGCACCACAGCTGACCTTCAGGGGAGGAGAAATGAGCCCGGGTGTTGGACACCTGTGTGGGCTAGTTTACGCCATCATGAGACAAGGTGTAGTCATCTGAGAGGAGGGAGCCTCGATTGAGAAAATGCCTCCAGAAGACCAGGCTGCAGGCAAGCTGTAGGGCATTTTCTTAATTAGTGATTGATGGGGGAGGGCCCAGCCCATGGTGGGTGGTGTCATCCCTGGGCTGGTGGTCCTGGGTTCTATAAGAAAGCAGGCTGAACAAACCATGGGGAGCAAGCCAGTAAGCAGCACCCCTCCATGGCCTCTGCATCAGCTCCTGCCTCCAGGATCCTGTCCTGTTTGAGTTCCTGTACTGACTTCTTTCAGTGATGAACATCGATGGGAAATGTAAGCCAGATCAACCCTTTCCTCCAAGTTGCTTTTAGTCATGGTGTTTCATCTCGGCAATAGGAACCCCAAGACAGCATCTGAGGAGACAGACTTGCTGCTACAGGCGAAATCCAGCCTGTCCTGGCCGACCCAGAGGCAGAGGCCAGGGACAGGAGTCCGTGCTCAGAGACCAGGAGATCCTTAGACCTTGGCTGTCACATTCCCAGATGGCGTCACTCTAAGAAGTGCTGGTTTTCTGAGACACCTGGCACATGCTGTTACATTGTTTAAACTGTTCTTTAAACAATAGCCCCTATCTTATTGTTTCCCTATGAATCAATTTGCCCCAAATTCCTTAGGCCAGAAACAAACATGAAGTGACATGGTATGTGTAGAAATGAAATGTTCAGTTTAGGAACTGTGGACAGCTAACAGTGTAGAAATCAGAAACGGAGCTGTCCTGTAAGCTGCAACTATTCTAGGAAAGAGATTGGGCGAAACCTAACCCATCAGAAATGAGGCCATGAAGATTGGGTTTTTTTCCCCCTTTGGTGCTGGAGATTTAAGCCAGGGCCCATGCATGCAAGGCAAGCACTCTACCAGCTGAGCTACATCCCCAGGCCTGTAACAGGCTCGTTAAGAAGCAGCCAACGTGCTTCATGGCTTTGGGACTCTCGATGTTGCTACAGTGGTGGTAAACCTGTGTTCATACGTGACCGTTCTTTGAACCTCATAAAGCCCTGCAGCTGTTTCTGCAGCTCTCAGAACACTCGTTGGGTGCATTCCTGTCTAACCGGGAAGAGGTGCTTGGGCTAAATTCAAGCAGGCTGGCCCAGCAGGCATCTCTCTCCTCTCCCTCTGCCCGCATCACAACAGTAGACAGACCAAGCATCGTGGATGCTCAGAGCAATAAACCTTCACAATTTATATATGATTTGAACTCAAAAGTGTCCCCCACAGGCTCATGTGTTTGAACACTTGGTCCCCAGCTGGTGGCGCTGTTTGGGAGGTTGTGGATCTTGCATCCTAGCTAGCATCAGTGAGTCACTAGGAAAAGCCGGGAAAGAGATGGCTACATAGAGCTCTCTCATCCTGTCTGTCAGGGGATGTGCCTGCGAGCTCTCCTGGCTGTGATGGACTGTACCCTTTTGACGTATGAGCCACACTGTCACATGGATGAGGAAAGTAATACACTGGTCAAAGGACTTCAGAAGTTGTTCAGAACCTCCTACTACTCATCCTTGGGAGCCCTTCCTAGTAAGAAGATCTGCGCCCACTGTGACCAACCCTGGCAGGGAGGGAGACCCTGGCCTTTGCGGTTTTGCTCACAGAATCTAAATGTTCCTTGTGGGATGCCGACTGGGTGTTGAAGGGATGAGGAGCCCACTGCAAGAGCAAATGAGAGACATGGGGACGTTAAACAAGTCCCTTGTTCTATCCCCTTCACTTCTAAAGTCAGACCCGGAGCCAGTCACTAAGAAACAACATATGGTTGTGTCGTGTTGTGTTTTTCCTTTGCATTGATGAGAAAATAAACTAAGAAGTGTAGGTAATTGGCCCCTGAACATGGATTGCTGGTATTGGCTCAAAGTCGGTTGGTCGCACTACGTTGTTAGGAGACAGTGTGTCTTGGTGATTGTCAACTAGACACACTTCCTCTCTTTCTCGCCATGAAGTGTGCACACCTCTGCTTTCCCTCTTTCCCTCCCTTTCTCTTCCTCTCTCCCTCTCTCTCTGTCTCTCCATCATAATAAACTCTCCACATGGATGCTGCGTCTGCATGGCGTGTCTCCCTCACCCACCAGGGCGCCTTGGCCCAACCTGCCAAGGCCTCCTGCACGCCGCGCCATGTCATTACATTGGCATCTCTGCCTTGTACTCTTTCAGAGAGCATATGTAACGAAGAAGCACACAGTCTTTGGAGAGTTGCCCCTTGCCTTGAAGTCTCAGCCTTGCTATGTTCTCCCTGTGTGTGGAAACTGCACTTGTACGGAGTTTACTTCCCTTACCTGTAAATAGGGTCAGTGATAACATACCTACTTCATCACAGGGGCTCTGAAAAGTCTGAACAAGCTGGTGTACATGAACTTCTTTAAACAGTGTCATATGCAAAGAAAATATTTCAAAAGAGAGCTGTTGTTACAGTTCTATATTGTTTGCTTTTCAGTGGACACACATTTTAAGACAAATGCTTTTAAGGAAGCATTGGAAGGTAGAGCGTGTGTTAATATTCTGACCCGCCCCTTGGGGCCACCCTGTGTCCCGATGTAGAAGCCTATTCTTAAGGGAAAACTCCGTTCCTTCTCTCTCTTCTGCTTTCCTCCCACGAGGGTGCGCACCCCTGGAACCCCTTGCTCTTCTGTCTCTCTCTCTCTCTGTCTCCCTCCCTCCCTCTTTCTCTCCCCCATCTCTTCCCTCCACCAAATAAAACTCTTCACTGAGCTCTGTCTGCATGGCATCTCTTCCTATCACCCGCCGTGGGGCACCTTGGCTCTACCCGCCAGGACCTGCCACATACAGTGTCATAACACCCCATTTAAAAATATACGAAATAGGGTCTCTTCATTTTGCCTGTTAACTAGACTAAAATGATCCTCCTGCCTCAGTTTCCCAAGTAGCTGTGACGGGGGGGGGGGGGCGTGCCACCACACTGACTTAAAGGCATTATGTTTTCCCTCCAGTTTTTTGAGACACTGTTTCTCTATAAGCCAATCTGGCCTCAAACTCACAGCAGTCCTCTTGCCTCAGCTTGCTGCATGGTGGAATTATAGCTGTATGTGCCACCACATTACCTTCAGGGCCATTATTAAGTAAAATAAAGTCACTTGAATACAAGTAGTGTGACATCATGACAGGTGACCTGAGAAAACAAGATCTTTTATCACGAAGTGACTCACAAATGGGTAGCATATACAGAACGGAAACACTGGGCAGATGGATGACTCACATCCTAGCAAGACGCAGCATTTCAGATTTCATCAATGTGGAGAATGATGAGCAATTCCAAACCTAAGAATTACTTCTGGAGTTTTTCATTTACTATTTTTAGCTCTCTGTTGACCATAACCAACACAAAGGGCAAAGAGGAACTGCTGTCCCACCAGATGGTTATAAAACGATCTTCGGGCCGGACGGTGGTGGCGCACGCCTTTAATCCCAGCATTCGGGAGGCAGAGGCAGGCGGATCTTTGTGAGTTTGGGGCCAGCCTGGTCTACATAGCGAGATCCAGGAAAGGCACAAAGCTACATAGAGAAACCCTGTCTCGAAAAACAAAACAAAACAAAACAAAAAGATGAAAACGATCTTCGGTGACCTGCAGAATACCTCCATGCCAAGCAGTGCCACAGAGTCCTCAAGACAGTAGCACCTCTTTGGTGGAAACATGCACCGGGGACATTTTCTGGGGCCAGAGGAGGCAGGGATGGTGTTTACAGTCTCAGGCACTGCTCTACCACAAAGCCTAGGAGCAAACCTCCCTGGCAGACCTGTGCAGCCATGTTCACTGGGGGCAGTAAGGCGCAGAGTGGAACTGAGAGGAAGAAAGGCCACTGGACTCCAGCTGCTGTGCATCCCCTATTTGAACAATTGTCAAAACAATTCCTATAGTGGGTGGGTGGTTGTGCACCGCCCCAGTGAGGCAGCAGGTAGCTGCTAGACGCCTGACCCTTGGGCGTGGCCTCGAGGGACCCTTAAGACCTGGGATGCATGTACATGTGCTCTCTTCTCTTCACTACCTTGCGATCTTGGATGCTGGTGTGGATCAAAGCAGAGCTCTCTTGAGAACGGCGTTGGACCTGCCCCACCCCTCCACGATTCTGTGACCAACTCCTTCATTCTGGTTGTGAGTTAACCTCAAATAAATTCCTTTGACCATCAAATAGACTCCATGGATTTATCCCACTAAATTCCCATCTCCAGCTCATTCCCACTCCCAGTTAGTTTGACAAGAAAACAAAATTCCATCATTACTCACTGAAACATCATGACCCATCTGGGCAGTGGTGGTGCACACCTTTAATCCCAGCACTCGGGAGGCAGAGGCGGGTAGATCTCTGTGAGTTCAAGGCCAGCCTAGTCTACAGAGTGAGTTCCAGGACAGGAAGGGCTACATAGAGAAACTTTATCTTGAAAAGTTAAAAGAAAAAAAAAAGAAAGAAAAGAAAAGAAAAGAAACATCAGGCTGGAGAGATGGCTCAGCAGTTAAGAGCTCTGACTGCTCTTCCAGAGGACCCTGGTTTAATTCCCAGCACCCACATGGCAGCTCACAACTGTCTGAATACAGGTCCAGGAGATCTGTACATGAAGGCAAAAACATGAATGCATATAAAATAAAAATAAAAATTTTTTTTAAAAAAGGAGCAAATACTGAAGAAGAAGAAGAAGAAGAAGAAGAAGAAGAAGAAGAAGAAGAAGAAGAAGAAGAAGAAGAAGAAGAAGAAGAAGAAGAAAAGGAAAAGAAACATCATGTCCCCAGGTCACCTTGCTGTCTAATCAGTGGTACCCGGTGAAAGTCATTTCATTTAAAGTTACACAGAAAGTAAAGCCACTTTGGACAAACACCTGCTAAAGGAGGCTTACCGTGGTGCTTCTTTCAAACGTGGGTTCCAGGTGGTCAGGGCCAATGTGGAGCTACCGCTAGGGCGCGCTGCTGCTGAATGCCCGCCCCAAGCCTGGGCCAGTGTGTTTTAACGCTGGGACCCTTGCTGGGTACTTTACAAATAGTGTTTAGTCCTCACAGTAACTGTGAGGCGGTTGCTTGTTATGGTTTGGATCGTGACTGTGTCCCCAAAGCCTGTGTGTGAAAAGCTTGGTCTCTGTGGGATGCTGCTATTAGGAGATGGTGGACCTGAGGAGGGGCCGGTGGGAGGGAGGGAGACACCAGGGGCATGCCTTTGAAGAGGATTTGGAGACTCTGCCCCCCCCCCCCCGCCCCCCATCTCTGTCTGCTTCCAGGTCACCATGAGGTGAGCCCCTCTGTTCCACCTGCTTGCAGCCATGGCGTCCCTTGCCAGAGGCCCACAACAACAGGGCCCAGCAAACCCTAGGCTGACGTTGAAGCCCTGAGCTCGTTTTGCTGAGGTATTTTAACACAGTGACAGAATGATAGCTCACACGATGCTGTAACATTTCCCAGATGAGGAAAGCACCCCAAAAGAGACCTGCCGCGGCAGCCCAGTTCCCCTCTGGCAGCTCGAGATTGTGCTTTGTCCACAGGGGCTGAGCATGTGCTGGAGAGACACTGTGTTAGCTTCCTATTGCTGTAGCACAGTGCCTGAGATCATTAGTAGGGAAAAGGTGTCCTCAGGCCCACAGTTCTGAAGGTTCCAACTTAAGGCCTATTTTCTTCTAAAAGTGAGTCAGAGAGGGTGTGGCTCACTGGTTGAGATCCTATTTAGAATATTCAAGGACCTGGGCTTCCTCCCAACATTCTAAACAAGTTCACCTAAGCAAAATCTGGAAAGAAATGAAACGCACAGAGCCAGCAGATCCGTCAGCTACCATTGTTTTAGTGATTGAAAAAGAACCTTTACAAATGTGTTCAGGGGCAGACTTCATACTCAGACATAATACCCAGAGGGAGGCCCCCACACTCTGGAGACCCGGCCCTCCTTCCTCCGCAGGCTTGGCTGATCCAAAAGCCCATAAAACTAAGCCCATGTGTACTTGGAGCTCCCTGAGAACTGGCTAAGAAGCCACATTCCACCTCCTGCCATAAATTGAGGCCAGTGGCTTTTAAAAGTGGAAGAAAAACACCAAAAAAAACTAAGTTGTCATAAAGTTGAGGCCATCCATATGCTAAAGAACAAAAGAGAGTTTGGTTTCCGGAACCCGGAGCCCCTCAAATCCCTCTCTCTCCGTGGACCTGAGAGGCCTCGGGGCACAGATTCGGAGCATCTGTGTGATGCTCTCTTTCTTGGTGAGCTCAGGGAGAGGACACAGTGTCAGCTAACAGAAGTTCATCTGAGCACCACAATTATGCGCTCAAGAATCCTATTAGAGGAAAACGGATGTTTATAATTTGCTTGTATGTCAAGGAAGTTTTAAAAATAACATGCTTGCTCTAAATTACTAATACGAAAATAGTTTCTGCCTCTATTCAAAATAGCCTTAGGTATGTAGTGTCTACTTTGAAAAATACAAATATATTTAAAGCTTATGTAGTTGTCCCTTCGGAAAAAGTGGGCAGCGGCGGGGGTGGGGTAGGGCCTGGGTTGGGGAAACAGATGCACGAAGGAAGCTGGGTGGTGGCGGCCAGTCCCTGGCATCAGTGCCCTGCTGGCCTGTCGCCGGGTCCGAGCAGCAGCCTGGCTCCTGGCTTGTCCATGCTGGAGTTGGCGTTGTCCGAGGCCTTGTCGGGCTCGGGCACGCAGGTGCAGCCCACCGGGATGGTGACGTAGTGTTCAGCGTACACTGAGCGGCCGCCCGCGCAGGCCGCGGTGCGGCGGAGCACTACGGCCGGGGAGTAGACAGGAGCGCTGCGGAAGCGGAAGTCCTCCTCACCAAAGAGCCCGGTCAGGCAGCCACGGCACAGGCAGTAGGCCTCAGGCAGGTACCTCGGGAAGCGAGCTGGGTCGTAGGAAATCCTGCCAACAGAGCGAGTGAGTGAGGGCTGCGGCAGGAGCATCACTGCCAGTTCAAGGCCAGCTTGGGCTACACAGCAAGCTAGGCCAAATGAGGAAGACCTGAGCGAGGCCGGGCCCGAGGATGCATCCACAGTTAGCACCCTGGTAGGGCCTACCTGGAGCAGACAGTTACACCACTATGCGGTGAGCCCCGACCTGGAAGAGTGCTCTACCATGGCATTTGACCTCTATCATATTTGGGATGCTGGATGCAGCATGGACCACTATCCTTGAGTGCCTATAAAACTACCCTGTGTTGGGGCTAGAGAGAGAGCTCAGCAGTTAAGAGCACTGACTGCTCTTCCAGAGGTCCTGGGTTCAATTCCCAGCACCCACATGGTGGCTGACAACTGTCTGTAACTCCAGTTCCAGGGGACCCGACACCTTGACACCCTCATCCAGACATATGACACCTTGACACCCTCATCCAGACATATCCCCAGGTAAAACATCATGCAGGTGGTGGTGGTGGTGGTGGTTCATGCCTTGAGGTACAGGAAGATCTCTGTGAAGCTAGCCTGGTCTACAGAGTGAGTTCCAAGCCAGCCACACAAAGAAACTCTGTCTTAAAAAAGCAAACATACAACTCCCCCCAAAAACCCAAACCACTAATTATATAAAAATAAATTATTTTTAAAAACAAACAAACAAAACAAAAACCCCTACCCTTCGTCAAGGTCACTGGCACCACACGCGGGTGGTCACTGTACCAGGACAAACCATCCTCCCGGGCTGCCCTGTCAACCCTGAGGAGCCATCTTTGTGATTCCAAGCCCAGGCCTGCCAAGCTCTGCAGCTTTGGGGAGGTAGGCTGATAGCAATTCCTACAGATAGCCACGCCTGTGCAGAAGGCCATGTGTGCGTTCTCTAAGGGGCTAAAGCAGCAGCAGACACAGCAGGGTGGCAGGGTGGCAGGAGGGCTGGCCGGCCAGGGGTACTTGAAAAGTGAAAATAATCTTGAATTCCATCACTTTGATTTACCTCCAAGTCTTCCAAGTTTCAATTCAGATGCCAAATGTAAAGCCCTCTAGGACAGCCTGTGGCCAAATCCTAGGGGAGGCTATAGGTCAGCTACAACAGGTGACTGACTCACTTGGAGACAAAGCAACCCCAGGACAGAGCCTGCTCTCACAGCGGCCACCTACACAGCTGCAGAAACCCAGAGGGCTATGGGAAGGAACCCAGAACCCTTCTTGAATGTCCCCTTGCTGAAGGAAGCATTACCCCATTGCTCATGAGACTTCTGTGTGCCTACATCATGTCCATCTATCTGTGCATCTAGAACACTGGCAATCCCTTATGGGTCTGCTCTTTCTAGAGACACTCAAATTGATCATCTATGAGCCTTAACCTTACTAACCTGTCCAGCAGTGGACACATCTGAAGATCTACTATGTGCCCGCATGGGAAGCACCAAACAGTAACCTGAATCTAGTGAAGAAAACAGAGGAGAGATGGAGAGAGGGAGAGGGATGGACTTGGAGATCTTTCTGTTCCTTGGGGGGTGGGAGATGGGCATTGGCCACACCATCTCTGCAGAGTATGGTGCCAATCCAAGGCAATGCTTTCTCCTTCATCCTTAATACTAATGAGGACACTTGCCAACAAAAATACCCCCCTTTGAAAGTACATTCAGAGCACCCATGCCAGGAGGGACCTGGTCTGCAGAGAGAAGGTCCTGGAAATGATGGTGCTGGCTGAGGAGTGGGGTCTAGGGTCAGGAAGGCCTCCGGGCATGGAACCTTTCAACTCCCTTCTCACACTGTTCCAGGGACCAGAGATGTGGCCTGGGGGAAAGCTCCTAACTTGGGTCGAGGGATCAATGCAGATACCTCTAAAACAATCCCACACTGATTTTGCCTATTTGTGCTTCCCACCAACACAAAGTAGGTGAACAATCTGCTTTTAAAGTTTGTTTCAGGGCTGGAGAGATGGCTCAGTAGTTAAGAGCCCTGACTGCTCTTCCAGAGGACCTGGATTCAATTCCTAATACCCACATGGCAGTTCACAACTGTCTGCAACTCCAAGATTTGACACCCTCACACAGCCATACCCACAGGCAGAACACCAATGCACAACAAAAGTCTATTGTCACTGTTTGCTCAGTTCTGCCCCCAGGGCTTTGGGAGCAGAATGGATCCATCTCCTGCCCTCCTGACATTCCCTTTCACTGAACATTTTTGAAGGGAAAGGAAGTCCTAAATAGCTAGATGCATAATGTCTCCAGTCTTTTTTTCAACATTTAACTAACTCCTATCTGAGTCCTGTGTCAGGCAGTTGGGATTCGGGCAGAACACCTCTGTACACCAAAGACATGCACTGGGAAAGAGCACAAATGCACAGGAGCACGTACCCAGAGCAAGAGGGTCCAAGTCAGAACCGGGGAGTGTGTCACAGGAGGAAAGTACAAGGTGAGAGGCCACAGAGTGGAGAGAGATGCCCCAACACCCCAACTTCATAGTAGAAGCCTGCCTGGGACAAAGGGGGAGATCTTGGTCCAGGATGGGGACTGCATTTTGGGATCTGGTTTGTATTAAATGTGACAGTTCATGGAAGTGTGTGGAGGAGATTGGCAGCAGCAGGGGACCCTGAAGTCTGAGGATAGACTGGGTCCGCAGGCTGAGGAAGGCACAGCCTAGAGATCGGGCTGCTCAAAAGCTTCAGTGGGGATGGGCCAGCTCATCAGACATACAGACATAGAAGATGTTTCAGTCTACCTGCTGCAGCTACAACATACTACTCGAGACTGGGTAATTTATAAAGACTAGACATTTACTTGGGTATGGTGGTACTTCTCAGCACTGGGGACGCTGAGGCAGGAAGATCATGAGTTCAAGGCCAGAGCGGACTACATAGAATGACCTGGTTTCAGCCACTCTCCAAAAAAGAGATTTATCTGGCATTTAGCTCAGTTGATTCCGGAGTCTGGGAAGCTCGAGAGCAAGGCCTTCTCGAAGCATCTCGCATGGTGGCGCATATCAAACGGCAAGACAGACTGGTCTTCCCAGCTCAAATCTCTCATTATAAAGCCATTCATGCCAGCATAGAGGTGCCATGACCTACTCACTTCCCAAGGTCCACCTCTGAACACCACCAACACACCAGCATCCTGGGTGTCCTTCAGGAACAGCTGGCACTCAGGTGCCACTCTGGTTAGTTTTGTTGGTGAAAGATGTTAGGATCCTGCTCTCCCCCTGGTACCAGGGAAGTTTGGGGTCTAGTGTCTTACGTCATCGGGGGGGGGGGGGTGCCGCTGGCGACTACCTACCCGCCATACCCGCCTTAAAAAGCCAGACACGACTCCCATGCTCTCTCTCTGCGCTCTCTCCCTGCTTTCTCTCTGCTCCCTCCATCTTCCTTTCTGTCCAGGCCTGGCTTCTTTCTAATAAAGCTCTTTGTAACTCTGGTAGTTGTGGCCATGGCCCCTGACTTTTCACCCGTAACCAGCGCCACCCACTAGTGCCATTTTACTATCAAAAGTGTTACTGCTTGGGTGCCTGATGGCTAAAGTCTCATTCAACTAAAAATATTCATCCCAGCACTCCAGTTGGTCCCAGACCAAACGTTTCCACTTCACTTGAACCCTTTGGACTAGGTTGGTGACAAGACACCCGTATGCCCCACCTCTACCTGCCACCTGGGGTAGAATGAAGGAATGAACATGGGGTCTTTCAAAAAGTGTCTTTGAGACTTGGATTGTTCCCGTGCTCCACATGGAGACCAGATGTGCCATCCATGGCAGTGGCACACACTCAGAGTAACCAGCACCTCAGAATCACAACCACAAGTGGATGCCCAGTTTGTGGATGCCCAGCTTCTTGCCTAATCTGTAGAAATCACCAGTTTCATGGGAAAGGAAGAGCGAGGCCTCCATAGGGACCCCTTCTCTTCCAAACATGGAAATGTAGCCCAGCAGAAACCCTGCCTGGCCTCCCTGGCCAGTCCCCCGCTGTCTCTGCTGAACGCTGCTCTGTGCGAACTTGGCGCGGGACCTGCTTGAAACTCAACAAGTTTTCCCCACTGACGAATCTCAGGAGCGGCCCTGGCCCTGTGTGAAGTTTGGCTAGGGTGAGTGACAGCTGGTGGGGCTTAATCCAAGAACAAAGGACAAGTCCTCCAGGGATGATTAGAGGTGATGGAAGCTGAGCTCTCGGAGGCATGTAAGTGACAGCAGAGACAGAAAAAGAGCTCTGTCCCGGGGCTTGGACACGTAGGAAACAATTCTAAGCGGTTCCGGAGGCAGGGCTCAGGGAACAATGAACGCATTCTCTGGAGGAATCTGCCACCTGATGTGTGCATCTGATAGCTGGGCAGCCACCAGCATAGTTTGCCACTTTACAAAACATATTTCCATTTCAAAGCAGCAGGGCCCAAGGATGACTGATTCTCCCCAGGGCAACCCAAACATCCCCAACCCCAGGCACCAAGCTAAGGGGTCCTGGGAAGTCCAGGGACAAAATGGCCTCAGCAGCCTGAGTCAGCAGCACTGAGGGCCAGTGAGTTCAGCCCAGCAGACTTTCTAGAAAAGGCAGGGAACTGTCTATATCTATGGGTCCTGGAAAGAAAACGTTGGTCCAGTCTAGTGTCCAACCAGTGACCCAGAGCAGATCATTACTGCTGCCAGTTGAATAAGGTTTGACAGGAAGGCCACTTCGCCAGCTTCCTGAGGCCTTTAGACCAGACTTGAGTTTTGGAAAGGTCTTGGAAAATTCCCTCAAGCAAGTGTAATTCTTTTAGTCTATAACATCAGCACATCTCTAACCAAAATCCCAGCTTAGAACTTGGCAAACGGATCCTATAACTCACAGGGAAGGAGAGGCCCAGGAACTGTCAGGACACATTCCAGGGAGAAGAAGGGGGTGGACGCTCCACCAGACTGGAAGTGATTAAAAGACAATGAGAAGGCCAAGATGGTGGCTAATCCCCAGGGACCTCTAGGGATAAGCAGCTTCCCTCAGGAA